TTCGAAACATATGTGGAATATAATATAGCGTAACAGTAATGAAACTCAAATACGTAAGATGTTGACTTTAGAAACACTAAAATTTATTTGGCGAATATTTCGGCTACTAGTCTTTGTCAATTGACAAAGACTACAAGATTACTACTAAGATTTTGAGAATTAACATAACAAAAAAGCAGTGCCAATGTTTTAATTAAATAGCTTAATGTACCTCAGAAAAAAGGTAAAAGTAGCAATAATTTATTTATCCATATTATCAGGGCGAGGGAAAAAAACTCAGAACCTCCTTTTTTCCAACTTTTCCCCCAGTTCCTAAATATTAAAAAATCAGTATATCATTAACCGCTTCTAAGTTTTTCATCAAATATGCTTTTAGTGTCTTAGAAAAATCAGATCTACAACGTATCAAAACTAAATTTTCCTCCGGAGCCTGTAGCTTTAAGAATTCAGAAATTATTCAATATTTTTAGCTCAACAAGAATATACAATTTTAAAGTATAAGTTCCAATAATACGAGAATTACGGTAGTGACCATGGAAAATAGTTAGTTGCTTTAACTTCGCCATTCATTAACTAATTAATAGTTTCTGCCTATGTAGCTTGCGTAACTTGAGGATACGGTCCAAGTTCCAATAATTACGAGAGTTAGTAACCATGGTAAATAGTTAGTTGCTTTATTTTCGTCCTTCATTAAATAATTAATAGTTTCTGCCTATGTAGCTTGCGTAACTTGAGGGTATGGTCTGACTAAAGCGTCAAGGCTGGTTGATGAATTGGTAGTCTGAACTAGATGGGGTTGATACAAGCCTGGCTAAAAATTGCTCAACCCAGAAAAGTTACCCAGGTATTTCCATCTTCACAGCTAGCGACGAATTGTTGAAGCTTGTTGATCTCTTCTGGCTGAATTAAGTTAACAGAGTTCAAGTCACGTATAATATACTCACTCCAAGCTGACTGTTGCTTCCTTCCATAGTATAGCTCACTTCTTACTTATTAGTGTTAAAACTATCTTTCAATGACACTCATTATTGCACTATCCTGATGACTGCGATCAAACAGTCTCTTGCTATGTTAGCTTGTTGCGATGTTGAGGACAGAAGGGTCATATTCTTGACCTTTGAAAGGAGACCCCTCAACATCCCAAGCTTTCTTCAGCACTTCATGCGCTTTCTGTAAAAAAAATATCAACAATATTTAAATGTAATGTTTAAGATAATTAATAGAAATTATCAGAGGCAGATTTAATTTTTTTTAAATTTAGGTTGGAGCACTTTAAATCTTAAAAAAAATAGGGGTAAATAGGATATGGCATTAAAATTGCCAAAAGTTGCCATAACATTTCTAACTTAGGTCCAACCATGGTGGAGCTGAGGTAAGCATTGCCTTTATTTCAGTGTCTCACCACTTGCAAAGTAGTTTAAGCCAAGCGGTATGTCTTATGAATATATTCACTAATGAAAAACCAGCTTTTATAGACCCAACACAACATGTTATTTAACTTAAATCAGAAACCTTATTTCTTCGTGTTGTTATTGAGGAGAATTTGAAGTGGACCAGTCACCATAATTATATGTCCAAAAAATATAAATTTAATTTGTATCATATTGATTAAAGTATATTTTTTCACATCATTTTGGCCATGTGATTATCCATTGAAATTTAATTAAACTACATAAATGATCAAAAACCGTGCTGCTAGAATTATTATTATCGTATTTTTGTACTCTTTCTGAACCTTTATTCAAGCAACTTCAAACTGTAAATATATATGATCTAAATAGGCACATTAGCAATGTTTATGTTCTTTATGTTTGACTCAGTCAGTTTTTATTTTTGTGTTTGTGGTCCAAATTTATGGAACAGTTTAGATATTAATATTAAAGCAATAATTTCGTTATTATTATTTAGATAAAAAATAAAACAATATTATTTATCTTTGTACCATAATAACTAAATTT